TAAGCATCCGCATGCGAGATCGAATGTGTTGGATTCGAATCTCTCCAACCACAAAGAGGTGAATATTTATTTCATTATCTTTCGAACTACCTAAGCAAATCATACTAACAAGAGCTCTTAACTGATTACTTTTGACCGTGTTAATGGTGTGGGATCATACTGTTTACAAGGTTTTTTTATCTAGCCTGACCTATCTGTTATTATTGAGTGAAGTAGTCGAACGTGTAGACCGCTTCACTTATCTTGGGAGTCTCATCAGTGCTGATGGCCTGGTGACTGACGAAACCTCAGCTCGGATACAGAAGGCTCGATTGGCTTTTGCCAACCTGCGTCACTTATGGCGTAGGCGAGATATCCGTTTGCTGAACAAAGGACGAGTGTACTGCGCAGTGATTCGCTCCGTCTTACTTTAAGGCTGTGAAACATGGCCAATGAGAGTAGAAGATATTCGTAGGTTACTGGTTTTCGATTATAGATGTCTTCGAAGCATTGCTCGTATATCCTGCGATACCTGAGTGAGCAACGCTGTTATTAGGAAACGGGTGCTAGTTAAGAATGGCAGATCACTAGATGAAGTAATGAAACTTCATCAATTGAGGTGGTTGGGACATGTGTTACGAATGCCTAACCACCGACTGCCTCGAAGAGCTTTGTTTTGTGGTGTAGGAGTAGGTTGGAAGAAAGCTAGGGGCGACCAAACCAAAACATGGCAGAAATCCATGATGTCATTGACATGTGGACTAAGTCGTGTCGGTAATTGTCGACTACCTGGTTGGGGTCCGCGAGATGATAATAATCGATGGTTAGAGACCCTGAATGTCATGGCTCAAAATCGTTCGCAATGGCGCCAGTGCATTTATTCTTTGTGTTCTCTCAAATCCTAATATTCTTGATTCTATAACTTCGTAAACTTTTCCCACTGAATCACCGCATTGGAAGACTCACTTCTTTCATTGTTACAATTTACTGACTATATCACTGACAATATTACTCTACAGTAGTTTGAATTATACGTAAGGAACTATGTACTCTTTGAAATTACAATTAAACCTTGATAGTGAGTGTAAACCAGCAAGAAACCTTAGTCATGTATAATATATCACACATTCCCCTCAATTATTTACCTAATTTATGCCACATAAGCATTCGAATCTGTTATTTGTGTCCTATGCTACTAAAGAATCGATACATTTTCTCATAGAATTCTACTTTTTTCTTTTTTCAATTGGTTTGATTGAAGCTGTACGTAATATTAAAATATTTTGTCTTCAACAGCAACAATGAAAAAATTTAGAAAATTTGTTGATTTGTTGCTTTTCTCACTTACAGTTGTATGTTTATCTTTTCTGTACATTTTCTCCTATTAGAAATGACCAATAATAATTGCATGCACTCCCCCTCCCTCCTCCTATCACTTGTCAGAAGATTGAAAGGGATAGGAATAATAATCTATCTCATCATCCAATCAAAAATGAATAAATAATAGCCAATCAAAATGAAGCCACATTATTGTATATAAGATGAATACAAAAGGATAATTTTCACAAAAAATTCCTTAGTTGGAATAATTATCACTGTTCACTAATTGATAACCAACTAAAATACATACCGAATATATATTCACATTGATTTTTTGGATTTATGCTCACACTGGATCTTACCAATGACTGCAACTGATGATATTCGGGTAAGTATTGTCGCCCTAGTTCAATTAAATTTCATATATGATGTCATTTTATTGAATTACATGGTAATATTTATCTAAGTCCCACTTATTTTATTATCTAGTGATACTGCCTGATCTAAAAAACAGTAGTAGTTAGATAGATAGCGATTGAAGCCTAAGTATCTCAATTGCTGACCACCCGCTCACAGCTACTGAAATTGTAAAACGTTTTGTAGAATTATAAATCATACTACTTGTGAGTAGCTTAAAAATATAAACAAAATATCTACATTCATTTGACTGGACGTTCCCAGTTTTTAATTGTGTGAACACTGTATTACTGACTGTATTCTCATCAACTCATGATGGGTCAATCAATAATATATCGATCTACAATTTAAATAAATATAAATTGGATATTGATTAGTTGATTGAAAATCAATGATTATTTAAATTTATCGTTGTTATAATTATGCATAGAAATAATGATCGTGGTTAATTAATAAAATGCATATGGTCATAGAAATGGCAGTACAGTATTGACTGTGTTCAATTGCTTCTCTGTTTAATTTGTCTTAGTGGATAAAGTTGTAGCTCAGTAGTAGTAATGGCACCTGATATTTAGGTTCGTAGACCTACTGTAACTTACAGCCAGTCACACAAATCGATACAATGTTATTGGGTCTATTACATTAGAATCATGATAAACTAATATATATATATATATATATATATATATATATATATATATATATACATTGTGTTATCATCACATTGAATATTGTAACAACTAACTAATACTCCCAATCGTCCCGCTGTTAAATTCTTTGCTTTTCTGTATTCTTACTGTACTCTTTTTGAAGTGAACACATTTCATTTTGTAGTCTGTCTTTTTTTCAAAGACTAATCACCATGTTTTCTTAAAATGTTTGCATACATGCATCAAAACCAAATTAGATAAATCTAATTCATTTTTTAAAGATAGAAAGCAGGTGCTAATATCTCATGGGAATAATCTTTAATTTTCATGCCTTGTATCTATCTATAATAAAACAAACATATATTTATTTATATATCTATCTGTGTGTGTGTGTGCGTACTAATGAGGTGAATAAATCAGAACACGTGCCAATTGTCAGTGATTTTCTTTGTTTGTTTGCGTAGAACTTGTCAGTTCGTCCATATTGAAATCCATACATATCTACATTAATTAAACACAGACATTGTCTATAAATTTTTATTGATTCTTTGCAATAAAAGGTGTTTTTTAAGTCCATTTGACATGATGATACTAATTTAATCTATACAATAGATATAAACACATTTATAAATCAGCATGAAAAGAGAAACACCAAGATCGTTCGTTATTCTTCACTTTACTAATATCTTAGTAACGAAAACCAGAACAGAGGCAATTGATGCTGAATGTATTAATGGTTAAGAGGAGGAGAGGAAAAATGTTATTTTTGATAATATATATAGTGAAATGATGATTGATGATATTTTCATTAGTCTAAGATTTTTCATTGTAGGGTTATGGGGCATGGATGTTTTATATTGTTAGACCACCATTAGAAAGCCTGGGTAAGCAGTACTGATCGGCCGTCTCGTCCTGCTATGGGAATGTGTCAGACATTTGTATGTAAGAGGGTTAGGTTGTGTGTGTGTGTGTGATTAATTCTTTGAAAAGTTCGTAATTGTCATTTTCATTTAGTGAGGAATTCAGAAGATTTTAATTTCAAACGCTCAATTGATATCGATTTTAAAAGTGTTCATATGTATAACTTTAAACACTAGACCAGACTTTTTATTGATTTTTTTCTCTCAAAGTAACTCACTGTATTCTTTCTCTCTTCTTCTTCCTAATTTAGTCTCGAATGTTGCATAGAGCTGATCGCCTGGTACGTGGTATGAAAGATGAAGAAGCATGGCACTTAGTTGGCCTATTTCAACAAACTCATCCAAATACATTTCTACAAATATGTCACCATACACTGGCATCATTCTTAGAATTAACTCATGATTATTTTGACCAGAAATGGCCTTTGATATCACGTTTATTATTGATGACCAATAAGAAAAAATCCATTGGTGCAGATCGTCGTGGTCGTTCACGTGTTCTCACTGCTAGTCATCACAATAATAGTCTTAACAGGAATACAAATCAACGTCATAATAATGTACATGAGGAAATTTTTCAATCACCAATTTGTTGTAGTCCATTATTGTTAATGTCAAATGATCAAATCGATAATTTATCATCATCATCTTTATCTCCAGTTATATGTAATATGAAATTATTGCATAACACTACTTCGACGAATGGAAAAATCAAAAATAAACTCAAACCTGGCGGTAAACGTTTACTGAAACAATTATTACCTTCAATGTTTCCAATACCTAACAATAATAATAATTGTAATACTCCTACTATTAATTCTACTAATAATATTAATAGTAGTAATGATGGATTGAAATCTCACGGTGAATCAGTGACACCGACAAAAAAATCCAATCGATCTGGCTCAAAAACAAGTAAGTATTATTTTCACAGTTGATGTATTATTATAACATTTCACTTATGTAGTCTACACCTATTAACATGGTTCAGTCAGTGAGTGACATTATGGATTTGTGCCATGTGCCTTGAAAAGTCCAACGATGTAAGTGTTGTCTCTACTAACAGCATGTCACTGATGAAGTTGAATAAGAATGCAGAAAGCGGAGAGCCCTGAGGAACACCACTCGAAGTAATCGATTCCGATTAAAGATCATCGTAATATCTGTCTTGACCAGTGGTGTTTGAGTAGAGAGCTAGTAGAACCTTTATGTATTCTTTGGTACTCCTTTTAGAGATAGATACGGCCACATGACATCACGATCAATAGATCCACACATCAACATAAGGTCGAAGAATACAACTACTGTAGGATGTCTGATTGTGTGTTTCTGTGTTCTAGAACCGATGTGGCCTGTATCATCCAGGGGCGATATAAGCTTTATTTTCTTGAGTCTGCTCTTCATGAGCTCCAATTAGGATCAGAAGTATTATTGAACTGAATATCTTAGACACTATATTAGTTAAACTGATTCACCAGGACAATTGTTGTTTGAGACCAGTCAGATGAGATTATGTCCAGTTCTCAGATTCTAGCAAAGATCTCATTTAGTCTTATTGCTAAAACTAAAACTGATAATTGATCGAATAATTTTTGTGCAATCAACATGAAATAAAACATTACACTGTCTGGTTTTGATAAACACTATGTCTAATTATCCTTAGAGTACTTTTATGATGAATGAATCTGTGTAAAGGATGTGAAACTAGCTAGAGAGAGAATAAAAAAAACACTTAGTTAGTAACTATGATTGTTTCATTTCACAGTTTTGTTTACATAAATCATTATGACCTCGGATATTGTAACCTTGTCAATAAAAGTACACAAAGTAAATAAATAGTCGAGTGTGTTTTTTTTTAAAAAAAACTCACCTGTAATATTTGTTTACTCAGTGAAAGAGAGATTATTTTAAGTGCATGAAACAACATGAAATAAAGTAAACTGACAAATTTACTCTTGGCGATAACACATACTACCAACCCATCTAATGAAGTACTTTTTTGTTTTTGAGTGGCTCTTTCTATATATACACTCTTCATTTCTAATCACCTCAACTCAACCAGTTTTGTAAGTTATGATGCTGTGAAATGTTAATTGATTGGTTAAAGCAGTTTTACTAGGTAGTTCGAATACATCCTATAGGTTTCACAATGTCTAGTAAGTAGTAAAGATGTTGAAATATGATTGATTAATTGTGATAATTAATTTTAACTAAATTGTTTTGAGTCACAGAAAAATTTTATGGATCTCTGCATAATATACAATTGTGATTGAATTGGGGTCCACGAGATGACAATAATCGATGGTTAGAGACCTTGAATGACATGGCTCAAAATCGCTCGCCATGGCGCCGGTGCATTTATTCTGTGTTCTCTCAAATCCTAATCTTTTGAATTCTTCAACACCTCTAGTTTTGAATTTCTAAACTTTTCTCACTGAACCCTATTTCTTAAATATCTTCTAATCCTAACCTCTCCGATTACTTCCAATACCTTTACTACCTCTTCCACTATTGGATTTGAATCGACAATTACTTCTCTGTGCTGATGTGGTATGGCGACATGAACTGATGTACTTACGTACGAAGTTCTACGTTATATCTGTCTGTCTGTCTGGGCAAGTTAGTTAATGAGTTTTGATTTCCTTACTTGGCTACATTTATCGTGTGAGCAGTTTTTGTTCACGAAACTCTTCAGTGCAAACTGCATTCTTAATCTTCATTGAAAACCACCTCCACGCTGTCTTTATCACAATGGTGTCTTATTGATGTGAACTTTTATACTGTCGTAATCTCACACTTCATCTGTAAGACAAAGATGCCTTCAACACCGATTTAGTTTGATGTTGTACTGAGAACATTAGTATTCGTCACAGATATCTAGGCGTTATGTTGAGGAGTCCTGTTCTAAAATCAAACAGTTATTCAATTGCCTTTTCAATTTTCGCTAATAGTTTGACTCAAACAGATCTTATAACCTACGAATCAATTATTTATAATTGCCAAAAATAAAAAAAATAAAAAATTGACTTGACAATGAAATGAAATCAACCAGATCAACAATAAAAAAAAATTATCTGTCACACTTGTTCATTATGATTTATCATCACTTCAGGGAATAAATAAATTAGCTGCCTTCTTTTTTTCCCCCAGCTTATTCAATCATCAAGTACAATAATAATAATTATTGATTACACGAGTTTTTATTAGCCTAATAACATCTGTCATTGAATTATTATTGTCTAATAATAATTATTTTAATCTTATATATGTACATACATTTGACCTGAAGGCTTTGTAAAGTCAAATTAGGTCATGTGTGTGTGCGCGCACAAAACGATGTGTTAATTCATTTTATTTTTTTCTCCTTTTCTTTTCTCTAATCCCTTTTATTATGTGATCGTGACAAAAATTAACAACAAATAGAATTATTCTTTAAACAACAAGTTCAACCATTATTTTGTAAATCAGGAGGAGGCTCCAATGAAACAACAACAACAACAACACGTCAATTCAATTATCCATTAGTATTCAAAATGAATTCATCTAAATTACATCATTGTTTAAACGGGAATACGATCAATTTAAAATGGAGAAATAATTACACTGATTATTGTATACAATATTGTAATATCGATTCAACAATTTGTTCTATTCTAATTAATTATATGATTTCTAATCCGAGTAAGTGATGATTTTTGATTTAATTATAAATGATTTATGTAAAAAATGTATATTTCACCTGTATATTTTGCTGATCAATACGCAGCGCTGGAATGTCTGTCTGTGTGTGTATGTGTGTCTGCAGGTGTGTGCGCGCAGGTGTTTGTGTATGTGTGTTTGTACTTGAATGAGTGCACAATGCAGATTTCTAACAATCGAATCAGATAACAAGAAAAAAAACGTTCGATAATTAACGGACACGTCTGTTTTTTTTTGAAATTGGTTCGATTATTAAGAATCATCAGTAGTCTTGACATGTTTCTGGATAAAATTGTAGTACATACAGACGAGTGTTTTCTAATCTACATTTAATGGAACATGATTTAAACAAAAAAATAATCACGAAATTTGTCTTGTTTTATTTTATGATTATCTATGTTGTTTAGTTTAGTGAAATTTTGTTTTACATTGAACATGAAGTGCACCTGATTTAAACAATTATCGTTTACATCAAATTACATGTAGTAGTAGTATTGTTTTTTTGAAAAAAAAATCAAATGAGCCATAAATGTTTAATTAGACAAATGTCAATTAATGATTACTTTTGTGAATTTGACTAGTATGTAATTCTTTAATTCATTTAAAACCAGTAAATTTGTATCTTTTGTGTGTGTGTGTGTGAAACATGGCCAGTGAGAGTAGAAGATATTCGTAGGTTATTGGTTTTCGATCATAGGTGTCTTCGAAGCATTGCTCGTATATCCTGGGACACCCGAGTGAGCAACGCTGTTATTAGGAATCGGGTGCTAGGTAAGAATGGTAGATCAATAGATGAAGTGCTGAAACTTCATCAGTTGAGGTGGTTGGGACATGTGTTACGTATGGCTAACCACCGACTGCCGCGGCGAGCTTTGTTTTGTGATGTAGGAGTAGGTTGGAATAAAGTTAGGGGCGGCCAAACCAAAACATGGCAGCAATCCATGGAGTCATTGACAAGTGGATTGAGTCATGTCGGTAGTTGTCGACTACCTGGTTGGGTTCCACGAGATGATAATAATCGATGGTTAGAGACCTTGAATGACATGGCTCAAAATCGTTTGCAATGGCGCCGGTGCATTTATTCTCTGTGTTCTCTCAAATCCTAATCTTCTGGATTCTTCAATACCTGTAGTTTTGACTTTCTAAACTTTTCTCACTGAATCATATTTCTTAAATATCTTCTAATCCTAATCACTGCGACTACTTCTAATACCTTTACTACCTCTTCTACAATTATATCTCTGTGCTGATGTGGAATGGCAACATGAACTGATGTACTTACGTACGAAGTTCTACGTTGCATCTGACTGACTGACTGACATTTGTGTGTTAATGAGTCTGAAACACTGGTGTTGCCATGATAATAATTACCATGATATAACTGCTCTAAGGATCGTTTCTTCTATTCTCATAATAAACTCCTCCAACATTCACTGAGGCTGAGTGAAGTCAGGATATTATACCATACAATCTCATCAATCTCATCTTTATGATCTTAATTTACAAAGTAGCATTCATGTTCGAATCAATGAGATTAATCCTTTTAATGGCTGGCTATCTGACTCCGATATTTATGAACCGTTACATATACTGTGAAATAAATCTCCCATTCAGTTTCCATATATATCATAGTTACGCGAATCATTTTAACAGACAAACAAGAGAATGAAAGGCGTACAAGCAGAAAGAAAAAAAAAAACGAAATGGAGAAGACGAGTAAGCAAACTCAGTGTAATGAGGCATGATGACCAAACATTTATAGTCAGACAAATATAAACTAGACATACGATAAGCGAAGCAGACAGTGCATACACAGAACTCGAATAGAAACAACCAAGAAATGAGCAAAGAATTGATAAGGTCAATAGACGTGTGAATAAGCAAACTCAGGAAAGAAAGCATTGATTAGATTTGTGCAAAGATTGATGAGACCAAGCCCTGTGAACACAACATAAAAGTACACACCCTACAATCCATAATGGACTGAACTCTTAGAATGAAAATCTATACTTTTTTGTGGGGAAGGGGGAAGAGTTTTGCAGGTTTGTGTTTTTAAACATTTGAAATCATCAATCAATCATTGTTAGACCACCATTGGAAACTTGGATGCACTGGACAGCCGTTTCGTCCTAGTGTGTGGGACTCATCAGTGGCAATGCGCATCCGCAACTCATGCTACTCGCGGGATTCAAACCCGGGACCTTCGGTATTGTGCGCGAACGCGAACGATAGATGGTTTCAAATGTGTAAAAATCTATACTATCTACAACACTACGTTCGTATTATTCTCCGCGTATCAATAATTTAATCGTTAACTTGTTAGCCATGACCGAACTAATTTATTTTTAATTTTTTGCCTATTAAATTATAGAATTATGTCAAACGGAAGGATTATTTCGTATACCAGGCAATTCATTACGTATACGTGAATTATGGTTGAAATTAAGCTATCATTTACAAACACCTTATCTACGTGTACCACAACCTGATCCAGATGAGTCAACTACCGATGAAAATCTATCACCTTATCCAATGATTGATTATGAAGAAATACATGATATTTTACAATCCTATACACCACATGATATATCCAGTTTGATATTACGTTGCTTAAATACATGTACAACATTTCAACGTATACAACAAGTGTTGAGTTTTGATAGCAGTACTACTCATACTACTACTAATACTACTACAACATTAAATTCCCCAATGCCCAATCATTCTGATCAATATTCCATTCATTCATATAATAGTAGTAATCATAATAGTGAATATCCACAGACTGGCGGATTAATTCCATTAGAAGCTGGAAATCTATTATTTTTAGCAACTGAACTACAATATAAATTGAAATCTTCCACGACGACCAATGCCACTACTAATACTACTACTCTGAACAATATCAGTAGTAATAATAATGCTGATGACACCAATCATCATCAATACGATGATTGGATGTATGTATTATGTCAATCAAGACAATTATTAACTTATCGTATTGTAATACAATTATTATTACCAATCCCAGAACGTTATTTATTAATGAATTTATTACGTTTATTTAAACAAATTGATGATTTCAGTAGTAAGTCAAAAATGACCGCTGAATGTTTATCCCGATGTACAGCATTTGCTGTGTTTGGTGCACCAATCAAATTGAAATCATCATCGGCTCATTCAAAGAATACCATGATGATGATCAATTGTCGTTTTAAATGGAATGCTAATCATCATAATAATAATGTTGTTGATTTTGATGTTGATGTTGATGATGGAGGAGAGTACAGTTTTGAATCATACACACATTCAATTGCTAAACGTATTGATACATTGACCAATTTAATTAAAATGGTACATCAACTGGAAGATTTACCAACAATTATTTATAATACAATACGTAATCGTCTTAGAATACATTTAGGCAATTCCCCGATACCTAGAACGACAACAAGCAGTGATTGTTGTTTACAACAACAATCTTCTATCATAATGGAAAAGTGCACGGATGAATATCATCATCATTGTTCACTAGTTGATGATAATACTGATCATTATCAGAATATTCAATTGGTAAGTTCAAGTTATTGTGCATTGATTATTTTTCTGTTTAAAAATGTGACCAGTTCAACGTTTATAACTGAATTATAATAGTCTAGTTGAAGTTATGCACTGATCTAAATTAAACACTGGATGTGTGTTTCATTCTTATATGGGACCGCTTAGCAATGTGCACTCATGACCCCGCATGTAGTCCATAATATTTCTCGGCATTTATTCAATAAGTTATTTCAAAAAGTTTTTCTTGGAATACTGAAATATTGAAATTTCGTGCAGTCCGTATTGATTATGCATCATAGTATTATGGTGCATTGAAATCATGAATGAATCATTGTTAGATCACCATTAGAAAACTGGAAGCAGTGGATGGCCGTCAAACACTGGTACGGGACTCTTCAACAATGTGCATCCATCACTCTCTCTACTCACAGGATTCGTATCCAGGACTGTCGCTTTGCACACGTACGCCTAACCTCTGGACCACTGAGTAGAAATCAAATTTGTGTCGGTTGAATTAGTTGAGAATTTTATTACGTTTACTGAACAGCTGCCCAAATTTGTATATGGTGTTGGGAACAGTGTTAGGAAGATATAGGCGGTGTAAGCCGTGCTAGTAGGTGCAGATTTGCCGATTAGGATCCGTGTAATTATTATGACTCATGCTTAGAGAGGAACGGGTCCTCTCACAATTTTTATATCACTCTTCCAAATCATTACGGTTACTTACGCTTACGCCTCTAACTCCTAATGGAGTACAGGTCGTCGGCCAGCATTTCCTAACCCTACTCTGCCCTGGGCCTTCCTTTCTGGTTCTGTTCTATTGCTATTCCTTCTTCTCATGTCTTTCTCCATTTCTTGGCATAATATGTATTTCATGATCTCCAGCTTTTTCCTTTTGCCATGAGAATTCCAAGTTAGGACTTGTCTTGAGATGCAACTGGGTGATTGTCTCAGTGTGTGTCGCATCCATCTTTAGCACATCTGGTTTATTCTTCCCCACAGTATAAGTTGTTGCTGACTGATAATCTTTTTCCAACGAATCCGAATTATTTTTCCTAGACAACTGTTAATAAACACTTGTATCTTTTATAATTTTTTCACAGGAACACTCTGAACCAACTATTCAAAAACGTATTAAATATGAAAACAATTCAATTGAATCTAATCAAACTCACACACCAATAGTAGTAGTGAATGAAATCGATTCACTATTGAATTCAAATCGTCCTCCTAATCAGCTTCATCGTACAAAATCTACTCTTGATACAACAACGATTAGTAGCAGAAATCGATTATTTAATCAACCATTGAATTTCAATGAATCACAACAACAAACTGATCATTCGAATGATTCACATGTATCATTGAAGAGAACAACAGCCAATACTACTACTATTACTACTACAACTACTACTAATAATAATACTAGTAGTAGTTGTTGTACTAACAATACAATGATTGATTCATTTCATTTATGGAAACGTCATAAACCAGGCTCAATTCATCATGATTTATTCAAACCAACCTTATTTAATAGTAGTAGTAGTAGTAATTCACGTATCACCAAAAAATCTCCGGCTATAATTCCCCTTTCTCCTCTATCTAATACTACTACTTCTTCAACTCATCATCATCATCCTCATCAGCAGCAGCGGCAGCATAAAATGTTGATCAAGTCAAGAAGTAGTTCATTTCTTGAACATTCATATATATTTAATTAATTAAAACAAATTGAAAAAATCAATTCAAACGGCTGTGATTTTAAATATGTACATATATGTAAATATATATATATATATATATATATATATATATATATATATATATATATACTGTATTTATGTAAATAGGATTGTAGTTTTCTCTCTTGTACTGTACATATTCCCCGCCCTCTCATTTGATGAATTACCTGTTTAATATATATCTATATATTTCTTTAATTAATTAACTTATTGATTTACAACTGACATTACTGAATCTGATGATGCCAGCAGTCCATATTCATCAGCAGCTGATCATCGCTCATTACAACACCTCCTGCTACTCTTGTAACCACTACTGTTCACTTCGTTTCCTATCATGAATGATTTTTAATTTGCTTTGTTTTTCTTTTTTGTTGTTTTGACTCCTTTATCTTTTATTCTTCTTCTTGTAAATTAATTTTTTTTTATAAATGTACATGCCTTTATATATAATGAATTGATATTAATGAATAAAATTAAAATCAATAATGTTGATTACGTAATAGAATTTTTATTATCTCCCTATTGGTTAAGTTTCCTGTTTTTCAATAGCTGCTGATGATGAGTTAGTAGTAATGATTGTCAGAAAATTTTCAGTACTATGAACTAATAACAACTCACTTATAACAATGGGAAAATATATTTTAGGCAATAAATCAACAAATGTTCCCATGTAGTCAGCCATTTACAGCGTAGAACTTTGTGCGTACGTACATTAGTTCTAGTTGCCATAACACATTAGCACAGAGACGCAATTGTCAGTTTAAATCCCATAATGGTAGAGGTAGTAGAAGTAGTAAGGGTAATGGAGAAGATTTAGGGGTCCAAGATATTATTCAAGAAGTTTAATCTAGTGAAATAAACTCAAAAAGAACTCCAACGGTTAGGATTTGAGAGAACACAAAGAGTGGACGCACCTGTGCCAATGAAAATAGTTTTAAGCCATGTCATTGAAGGTCTATAACCATTGGTTAGTGTAGGCTAGCAGAACCCAACCAGCTTGTCTACATCTACCAGCATGAACCAGTCTGCTTGTTTTGGTTTGGCCGTCCCTAGCTTCCTACCAACCTATTATTACACCGCAAAACATAGGTCGACCAGGAAGTCCGTGGTTAGACTTACGCAAATGTTGAGTTATCAGTGAATTCAGATATTAAAAATATTTTACAAATTGATTGATGTACAGGCGACTTTTGGCGGCCATGAAAACACCTTGGATCGAATCAAGTACGCTCGAATAGTTATTAATGTTTCAAATATAAAGGATATCAATCATGGTACATACATTGTGTATTATTTGTCAATTTTAGACATTGAAAGAATTTACACTCTAAGTCACTTAAGAACGAAAACATTACATTGAATACTCTATTTGCACACCATCTTTGAGTTGTGACTTCCAACACTCCATCCTTCTGCCATTCCTGTTGTTGCTTCCTTTCCTTTCTGTTGGTACTCCATTCATTTCTTGCTTTTGCTCCATTTACTTTCCGGTTTCCTCTTCTGACCATGAGACTTCTTCTTTCACGTCCATTCTTATACTACTTATATCGTTCGTATAAGTAGCACACACCGCACCATCATTCGATAGTGAATTTCATCACTGTCAAACCTGAATCAATGACGGATTTCGTAAAATTGAAATTATGTCTGTTCTTAAATTCAATACATAAAATTTCAAATAGCACGAGCGTAACACACCGGCTTAAGGATTGGCAATGTATTACTGATAATTCAATCTGTGATTTAGCTAGTATACGGTCAACAGTAATTTTCAATCTTGTATTGTCTGTTTACCAAACACATCACTGCAGGATAGCGCACCATAAGGGGAATTTCGCAAATAAACAAACGTTCGAAATGAAAATATCGATTTATGTTGGGGGATCTCAACAAATTTTCTCATGTTAGATAGCTTCTCTGTAAATGATAAGGAAATAGATGTTCAGGGAATCAATGTATCGTCTAACTGATAACCTTCAGTGGAATCGATGAAAATTATAATATGACAGAACCGACCCGAAAGTTTATTTCTACAAATCTTAAATGTTAGACCTTCAGAAACCTGGGAGAACTGGACAGCCGTTTCGTCCCTGTATGGGACTCATCATTGGCAATGTGAATCAATGATTTCTGTTTATCAAGTACGAATTAGCTGTCCAGAGTTTCCAGGTTTCTAATGGGGGTTTAACATTGATTGGATAGTTGCTAACAGAAAAATCCATTTCTGTCATTATCAGCTGAATTCACAGTAATTGAATTTACTTACTTACATCTGCTACCCCAAATGGAGCACAGGCCTACGACTAGCGATTTGTTTTTTCGGTTTAATGTAGTTTTGGAGAGTCGAATTTCTACAGGACAAGTTAACTAACCCCATGCCCACAGCCTTCCCTCATTATCCGGGCTTGGGACAGGCAGTAAACTTAAAAGGGCTCCAGATGGAGTTATTATTTGGAGTACTGATGTTTATATTAGGACTCTCTAACCCAGTTACCAGGAGAACGAAACGTGGATCTTTGATTTCACTAATATATAACATGTAACATATCAACAATCTCGGTCAGCTTCCATTAGTTCATTATTCTGTTCGATTAAGTGAAAATTTTTCCGTAAATTGTAGTCAGATCTTTTTCAGAGATACCCATATTGAGAAAAGTAGGATCCTTCAGTTTTTACTCTTACAGTTGATTGTAAGTCCTCAACCATATCAGAAGCTATTAATTAGTTTTTAGGAGTGAAGTTATATTGAGTATTTTAGTAGAATTCAACTTGGATTCAGCAGAATTCACAGTATTATTTATAAACTGAAATTAACTAACAACTTATTTATAAGTAATATGTTTGTTATCTAGACTTCAGTACTGAACGAATTTTATTGATTATCAGTCATACTTTGGATAACAATGTATAGGATTCTGATGAAGACACTCGTTAACATAAGCTAAATTTTTACAGTTAGCATTGACTTTTTCATTCATAATTGTCGGTCAATCAGTCAGTGAGTTGCAACGTAGAACTTCGTACGTATGTACATAAGTTCAGGTTGCCATACCACCAAATTAGCACAGAGACGCAAATGTCAAATCAAATCTCATAGTGATAAAGATAGTAGAGGTATTAATGGTAATGAAGAAGAGTAGGGTTTGAAGATATCATATTCAAGAAGTATAATTCATTGATATAAGGTTAGAAAGACAAAAGTAGAGGTGCTGACGAATGCAGAAGATTAGGATTTGAGAGAGCACAACGAATGGATGCACTTGCGTCATTCAAAACGATTTTGTGCCATGTCGTTTAAGGTTTCTAGCCATTGGTGACTTTCGTCTCGCGGACGAAAGTTATATAATGCAAAACCTAAATGTAGAATGTTAGAAATATTGATATTGATTAGTATCTGCCTTCAGTTTAAGGTACATTCGGTATGTGGTTATCAACGAAATCAATGACAAATTCCTCGTCTTCTGACCTCATAAGATGAATTACCTACTTTCTGATACTGATATTCCGCTTTCGCCTCAAATGCTAAACTCACTATCCAATAAGATACTTAATCCAGGTAGGTACTCAGTATATTGTTCATCCTATATGAACCTATTATTATTATCGGTATATAATTTTCAGTCGTTGATATTCAGGACAGAATTTGGTCAGTCTCCATTTTTTATGTGTATTGCCTTGGAAACTTGAAGTGATAAGTTCCTGGCTCGAGACCTACTGTAAATTTATACTCTATGGAATCAACTATATCCAACTGAGAAATACCAAACAGAAAGAACTGGTTATCTTTCATTCCATTGTTAGCCATATGTCAAGTACATTAACCGTAGGATTTTTCCACAAATTCTCTCAAACTACTTAAACAATTAAACAAATTTCATATCCAGTAATAATAATGCTAATTTACATATCTCATTCAAGCTAATTATCACCTATGATTATGGATAATTGTTGTGTGGTGTGTGCTACTTATACGAACGATATAAGTAGTATAAGAATGGACGTGAATAAGAAGTCTCACGGTCAGAAGAGGAAAACGAAAATCAAATGGAGCAAAAGCAAGAAGTAAATGGAATACCAACAGTAAGGAAAGGAAGCAACAACAGGAATGGAAGAATGATGGATTGTTGGAAGTCACGACTCAAAGATGGTGTGCAGATAGAGTATTCAATGTAATGTTTTCGTTTTTAACTGATTCAGAGTGTACATTTGCAAAATACAATCATCCTCGCCTGCCTCAGTCTTCTCAATCCAGCCAAATTTGAGAAAAGGATAAATGTTATGAATTAGCTGTATTGTAGAATCGTATCTTAAAGAATAATTTAACAAACTGATAGATAACATTTTTTCCCTAACTTGAAATCCTCAAGGCCGAAAGAAAAGAGACAGACTAAGGAATACACTACTCCGAGAAATGGAATCAGACGTTAAAAAAAATGAATAGCGAATGGGTAGACCTGGAAAAGTAGCCAAAGGACAGAGTTACTTTGAGTTTGTTGGTCAGAGGTCTAAGCTTCATTACGGGTAACAGGTGTAATTAATTAATTAATTAATTAATTAAGTAAGTAAGTAAATAAGTAAGTAAGTAAGTGCATAAGTAAGTAAGTAAATAAGTAAGTAAGTAAGTATTGACCATGACTATCGATAATATCTGTTCTATCCTCCACATAATCGAACTCTGTTGGTCTTGATTTCTCATTTGAACTCCAAGGAGAATTTAATCTCAAATTTAATCACCAATGAGATAATAATAATTATTGTTATAATAAAAGTATAGGTTTGTGAAGATTTTGTAATTTTTTTATCTTTTTTGTTTTAAATCAAATTACAAAATTAATTGCTTTTTGTACCTAGTTGATTTTCTACTGGATGGGGTCGCTAATCCCTCATGTTCAATCCTTCAACTTTATCTATGCTTGGGACCAATAGTAACTCTAGAAGGGTTTCCCTTGGAGTTAGTTAGTTTATTTGTAATTTAATTCTACCTAATCCTCAAGTCCAGAGACAAAGAGTTGTAGACCAAAT